ATGATTGTAATTGTAGTTGTTGCTGTTATTATTAATATTATTATTATTAAACTACATATATAACTGAATTGTATTATTAAGATTAAAACTAGGTTAAGTTTACGTACATGTTAAGATAATGTTTACCGAGGGATCACACAACTCCCCCAGCCCAGGGACCAGTCTGGATTATTCACATGGGTGTGGTTAGGTTAGGTTAGGTTCTCTGTCCAGGTATTATATTATTCCCAGTTCTGGATAATTAACCTGTGTACAGTCACACAACTAAAAAGTATTTAACTCACTTTATCCAATCTGGTACATATCAGCATATAACCCACACCGTTATATGCATATAACCCCAGTGTGAGTCATTAACCCACTGTGAGTCATTAACCCACTGAGTCATTAACCCACTGTGAGTCATTAACCCACTGTGAGTAAACCACTGTGAGTTATTAACCCACTGTGAGATATTAACCCACTGTGAGTCATACACCCAAGCAGACGGCGGTCAGCTGTTTCAGATTTGCCGCGACACAGCTGAGAATTAAATTTTTGTGGCGCCAAACCGCTTCATTGGTATACGACTGACCTCGATCAGGATGTGACACACTAGGAGGGTTTTGTGACACATCAGGAGGTACATTATGTGACACACTAGGAGCATTATGTAACACGCGAGGAGACACATAATGTGACATACTAGGATGATTTTGTGACACATCAGGAGATACATAATGTAACACTAGGAGGATTGTGACGCATTAGGAGATACATTACGTGACACGCTAGGAACATTATGTGATTCACTAGGAGACACATCATGTGACATACTAGGAGACACATCATGTGACATACTAGGAGACACATCATGTGACATACTAGGAGACACATCATGTGACATACTAGGAGACACATAATGTGACATACTAGGAGACACATCATGTGACATACTAGGAGACACATCATGTGACATACTAGGAGACACATAATGTGACATACTAGGAGACACATCATGTGACATACTAGGAGACACATCATGTGACACATGAGGAGACACATCATGTGACACTAGGAGATACATCACGTGACACACGAGGAGACACATCATGTAACACTAGGAGACCAATCATGTGACGTACCAATAGACATTCCATGTGCCACACTAAGAGGCACACCATGTGAGAGTCTAGGAGACGGACACCTTGTGATATACTAGGAAACAAACCATGTGACACACTAGGAGACGTGCCATGCGGGTCGAAGCGCTAGACAGGGCGGGGTACAGTACAAGTAAACAGTTGGCCTCGTGCCCAGTGTGTGGGGCTGCTGACGCCCTCCATCTCTCCACGCTCCTCCCTCCGTCCAGACCCCTTCCCTCCCTCCAGAATCCATCCTTCCCTCTACACTCCCTCACTCCACCCACTCTCCCTCTACTGCTCCTCCCACCTTTCCTCCACATTCCCTCCCTCCATCTACACCCACACTATCTCGCCCCTTCCACATTCCGTCTCCCGCTCCATCATTCCTCCCTCCCCCAGTCCCTCCCTCAACACTCCCCCTCTTGCCCTAACCACACTCACTCTTTCCTTCTGTCTTTACTCCCGCCTTCCCTCCACTCAAACTTCCTTCACTCCAGACTACCCTCCACAATCTCTCTCTCCCAACTTCCACGTTCCCCGCTTCCTTCACCCTTCCGCCTCGCTCCTCCCCTACACTACAATGTCTATTACTGTTAGTACATTTTACAAATCTTTTCCAACACGAGTGACTCGATACTAAGGGATACAGGGCACAAAAGAGTTATAAACCCTTTCACCGCGTGTCACGCACTTGCCATTTTATTCTGGCTACCGCCAGATGATTTTATTCAGCTTAGGGTAACCTCCCGCTGGGAAAGGGTTAATGTTAATGTGTGTGTGTGTGTGTGTGTGTGTGTGTGTGTGTGTGTGTGTGTGTGTGTTTGGTGTTAAAAAACGCGAGGTTTTCTTTAACTTTCAACAGTGTCGAACGTTGACAATTTTTTTTACTTAATCGTTATATTACGTCCTTTTACAGTGTTGATTTTCAGGGATGAACTTAGTGTAGTGTTGGTGGGCGATGGTTGAGTGTCTTGAGACAGTCATTGTACTACAAACACCACACAGTTAGCTTGGGTGTGGCCAGAAGCGTCAGGACATAGTCAGCAGCTTGTTGTTTGTTTGTCAAGCAACGTTGATATTCTGCCTTGTCAAAGAGTTGTGTGGTGAGTGGAGACAGACAGACAGGAGTGTTGCTGGTTGACTGGAATGTACACCCACTAAAACATTATTCGACACCATTACGGCGTGATACAATATGACACGGGTGCCGAATAATTTTTTAGTGGGTGTACAACTGAAACAAAATTCCGTATACAGTGCATTTTTGTCAGTCCCTGGCATCATTTACCTGAAGGTCATGTAGGTAAGGAAGGTTGAGGTTCTAACATCTATATACAATACTCGGATTTGTCTTTGTATTACGGTATAGTGTTTTTGTCATGTTGTTGGCAGACTACAGTATAATCACTTATCTGGCGTAAATTATGATAAAAGAAGAATTCAGCAGTTATAAACCAATCATATAAATGACCCACAAGTACTGTACGTATCAGATATTACCAAGTACCAAGGGAACTTTGACCATGTCTGTATATTTGTTAAAAATAGGTGCTTAAACTGACCACAAACACGACTGCCATCCAATAGTTTCATTAGTTGTAATAAATCAAGAATTTAACTATAAAGCACATCGGTAGAGGGCGTGGGGGTGGGGTAAATGATGGGCGTGGTGGGTGTGCATGGTGGGATGCATGGTGAGCGTGGTTGGGTATAATGGTGTGCGTGGTGGAGTATATGGTGGGCGTGTTGGGGTGGCATGGTGGGCGTTGGTGGGCGGGGTGGGGTGAACGGTGGGCGTGGTGGGGTGAATGGTGGGCGGTGGGGTATGGGGGCGGGATGGGGCGGGGGCGGGTGGGGAGGGGGGCGGGATGGGGTGTATGGGGGCGGTGGGTGTATGGGGCGGGGGGGAATAGGGGGCGGGATGGGGGCGGGATGGGGTATGGTGGGCGTGGTGGGTATGGTGGGCGGGGTGTATGGTGGGCGGTGGGTGTATGGTGGGCGTGGTGGGGTGTATGGTGGGCGTGGTGGGGTGTATGGTGGCGTGGGTGGTGGGTGTATGGTGGGCGTGGTGGGGGTGTATGGTGGGCGTGGTGGGTGTATGGTGGGCGTGGTGGGGTGTATGGTGGGCGTGGTGTGTGGAAAAAACAACAACATGTCAACCACAGCTCACCTACACCGTGACGTCATCTCACCAGCAGAATCAAGGCAAAGAATTTTTTTTTTTTAGAAACATTGAGTAAGTGTTGGTCTGTGTGTGCTACTCTCCAATGGTGACATCATCATAAAGTGACGCTTTAACCAAAATGAATAGAGCGGTATTTACCCAGATTAGTGAAGAATTGGTTACAAGATTGCATAAGCGCGGGATAACCATGATGTTTCCTCATCAGCCAGTGAATCACATAACATTATGCGCCAGTTAATTAATTTAGATAATCAGCTGTTTCACATGTAGAGCTGAATAAGCGTGTTTCACAATCATGTCGAACGGACACTATATATGGAGCTAAATTAACCACAGCAAAAACCATATTCTTCAGCAGTCGACCAACTCTCTCTGTCAGCGGTTTGGTGACGTCACTGTTGACACACGACATACTCTGCTGTCTTGGCAAGTTGTTGATAAATGCAACCCAGTAAGCCTAAGCTGTACACCATTACTGTATTGCTCATGCCAAGTAAGTTACCTGACATGTGGATGTATTTAAGGGTTGTCACCATGATCCATGGGTTTAATGGGCTTTATTAGTACAGTAGAGGCATTGGCTGGGCACATTTCTTGTTTGTGAACTTATGTGTTACAAAACAATGGCGTCATTGTCACGTTACTGATGCGTTCACTTGAGCACTTCTTTGCTATGGTCCTGGCTCACTCTTCCTCATTTACTATTTTAAATATTCGCTCAACTTGAACACTTGGATGAGGTTCAGGTCCTCCAACAAATACACAACCATACACGTGCTGACTCACCCACACATGAGGTCCCTGGCGCTGGGGTGTGGAATGCCCTCTTTCCTTCTTTCACTTCAAACATGTATTTCACTTCATCGATCAGTCGTGCGACGTTGGTCTTAATTAGAAAAAAAAAGTACTGGTACTTAATGGGGTTGTTATTAGAACTTATGGGTTAATATATCATACACAAAGGGTTCTCATGATTCATGGGTTAATTATTAAACTCAAGGGTTTGTGATGACCCATGGGCAATATCATTACACTCACCAAGTTGTTGTGATACATAAACGTAATCTGCGCATTCAGAGGTTTCATCAGGACCCACGCACTGGTCATCGTACTTCAAGGATATGAGGTGTGCTCTCATATTTTAAGTCAACAATATAAAGTTTAACGTAAGAATTTCTGAGGTCAGAGGTCAGGGACTGAATTCACTCCGTGTAACACCTCGTAATCATCGTACTGAAGGGAGTCAATTGTCTTACTCGTGGGGTTAAATTACCGACTTTACTATATCTCAGCCAGGACGTAAAAGGATCTTGCTCTGACACCTAAATTATCGTTCTTAAGGGGAGAACTTATCGTACACCGTCCATTAAATCATCGCTGTTGAGAGGTGTAGTATCTTACTCTAGACACAATATTATCTACAAAAGACTTGTAAAAATCGCATACCAAATATGTAATTGTTGTAATCCATCGGTGAAATATTTCAATTAAAAGACACGAATTTTTAGTACCAATTATCAATTCATACCACTATGTTATTATTAATCAATCCCGCTATTTATCAAACTGTGCCTTACATTATCAATTCGTTCCTCTTTGCACAACGCAGTATATCATTATTCCTCAGAAAAAAATAATCCCAGGCAGGAGATAGACGCCAGGAAGAGGCTGATACCAGACACATGACTTACCTGGAGGACTGTCCACCTGGAGGAGGCAGGTGTGAAGGCAGCCGTTGAAGCAACAGGCGCGCCCCTGTGAACACTGGTGGTGGTGGAGACAGGCGGGGGCGCTGCACATCTCTCTTTCGAAGGGTTTCATCGGGGGCGGGCACTGGGGATCATCCACAGCCTCGCCCACAGGGATTCCCTCGCTAGACTCTGTGTGCTGCAGGGGAGGAGGAGGCCACGGTCAACTGCTCCCTCGTTATCCTCTCTCCTTACATACTATTTTATACTTTATTATGTGCATTATTATTATAATCTATAGTCCATAATCTCTTACTTTACATGAAAATATTTTCAGTCATGACAGTATTAACTAAAAATATCAGACTGTTACATAGCTATTCCAAAAGAATAGAAATGATTTTATACTCAAACTGGATTAAGCGCCGTCAAAATAAGCAGAAGCCAGGAGCTGTTGATACACACTCAGGGGAGACCCTTGTACAGGGGGGTGGTTAAAGGTTACTCTATACAGTATAACTAAAATCTTCTCCTCTCACAGCTATCTAGATATAAGAACACATTTACGTACAGATAATAATAAATACGGAAGAGGAGAAGAACACAGCAGAAAGAGAAGGTACACCAGATTAATGTACTGCTGTAAATGTCAAAGAACTAAAAACCAAACTCCTTCCTTGCTCTTCACCTCACGCCAAAGTCACCAGTTAAGCCGTTCTTACCTCCAGCCACCCTCTGACACCTCTTATGCAAAAGCCTCACAACACAGTAATTATCTGTTAGGTATTAAGTTATTGTCACATCGTCCAAGTTTATATGGAAAACCTAATCATGAGGTTTCAAACGCAGCCCCTATGTTGTGAACGGTTATTCTCCGAGGATGGTGTGAGCGGCAGTACCGGTACACTCCCATTGAAAACATAACTTTAGCTTCCCCTATTCCGCCGACTACACAGGCGTGAATTTTTGTTTTCAATATAGGGTTTATATGACCCAGTATTCAGGATTAATTTATTTTCACTTTCTGGGTTTATTTAGCTTTAATTTTAGGATTATGTTGTCTGACGTATTATTTTTCTTTTTGATTCACACTGGATAAAATGGGATATCATGCTAAACTGAAGAGCGACTAGGAGTAATTAAAGAGAGAGAGAGATCTGAGTACGGCTGTGGGTTGAGTGTAAGGTGAGTTTGTTTAGTTTTTTTTTAACACTTTTTTTTTACATAACAAAGAGAAGTGTTGTGATGTACGATAATAATCTACAGCTTGTGATGGCTGGACGACGACGTATATTTTCCCTGATAATAACCTGTTTAAACACAGCAGACAGAGGCGTGGGCCAGCAGACAGGGGCGTGGGGTAGCAGACAGGGTGTGGGCCAGCTGACAGGGGCGTGGGGCAGCAGACAGGGCGTGGGACAGCAGACATAGGTGAAGGGCAGGAGGCAGGGGTGTGGGGCAGGAGGCAGGGGTGTGGGGCAGGAGGCAGGGGTGTGGGGCAGGAGGCAGGGGTGTGGGGCAGGAGGCAGGGGTGTGGGGCAGGAGGCAGGGGTGTGGGGTGGAGGCAGGGGGTGTGGGGTGGGAGGCAGGGTGTGGGGGCAGGGGTGTGGGGCAGGAGGCAGGGGTGTGGGGCAGGGAGGCAGGGGGTGTAGGGCAGGAGGCAGGGGTGTAGGGCAGGAGGCAGGGGTATGAGATAGGGTTAAGAGGCAGCAGACAGGGGCATGTAAATTGGATGATGTAATACTGACATTATTGATGTCCGCCATCTCTCTGTTGTACCTGACGGGAGACAAGAGAGTTGTTCTCTCATTACCAGTGAGGTAGTGTGGGGGAAACTGATACTGTGAACCTCTCAGAATCTCTCTCTGGACGAGGTCACACGCACGCACATCTGTGTTACTCTGGGACCTGAGAACCTAAAGCTCGCAAGATGAATATTCCTTGTATGTGATGCTCTATCTATTTAAGTTAGAGTTCACTGTACAGGTATTTGTGCATTTGTTAAGTTATTTATTTAACGTCATATTTATCTTCGGGCTTCAGTTAACTAGTTAGGCACACTCTTATATCTTCATTTACTACCATACGAGTCAGGTCACAAAAAAATCATTGATCAAGGTCAAACTTCTGGACGTCTTGGTGTGCACTCTGATGAGTACTGTCAGGTGCTGTTCATTCTATCATCACTCATTATCTCTCAGTTTTATGACAAGGGCGGGGAGGGGGTCGTGTTTATCTGCTTTACGGGCTTATCGAAAAAGAATGCCCAGACTTTTAATAAAACAATGAAAATCTAGGTTTTGTCCACAATCCTGTTTGTGTTTGTCTGTGTGTGAACTATAGATACCACAATATGGTTTATCTATTTTCATAACAGTTTGGAGGGTTGGTGAGAGTACAGCGTATTGATGGAGGAAGTGCGTCAAAGGTGAAGGTCAGTGATGGAGGCCGGAGAGCACCCAACGCTACCTTGCACAGGATGTAAGGGGGTGCCCAATAAACTAGCCCCCTCCGGGGCACTTTAAAAATCTAAATCTACGAGTGACAGATTTTTGTGAGACTCAACAGAAAGGTCGGCTGTTAAGCACATCAGCTCCATCCATGTACACTTATCCGTCATATAGGGTGGAATAAAGTATTTCGAGTTGGTTGAGCTGGATCTTACAACTGCGTGTACTGCACAGTATGTTACATTACTCGGTGCGGTTTTGAGATTTTTGATTTATGGAGATTGTGGGTGACATGTGTAAAGGGTTAAAAGATTGATGATTATTTTATTCATAATTTTTATAAAAACATAATCTAGTGAGGCCTGGCAGACCTGTGTGTGTGGGCGTGTTGATGACGTCACAAGGTTGCCTGACGTCAGAGCCAAGGAGCAAAACTGAGTTAAGATATCAAAACATCATTATCTAGAGCACAGAGAAAGTAAACAAAAATCAAAATAATATTCTACATACCGGTATTTGTTTGTCATACTACTTTTCTTATTAATAATATTATGTCAAGGGTTTCATTTCGACTCATACATTGTTAGATTTCTTTAATTATATCGTGAACAATTTACAAAACCGAAAAACTCACGACTCCCACTTATCAGTTGCTTGTAAGTAGATAATTAAATAGCTAGTTAATTATCATGTACAATGAAAACAAAAGTCGTGTCGTGAAATTTGGTGAAAACATATGCCGAAGGCTAAACTTTTGGAGCGCTCTGCCTTGTGGTAGGGGGCTGTCATAATGTTTTACGAGTTATATTTAATCTTCGGACAAAACTGCGACACGACTTTTGTCCTTGATTGTAATACACCAACTATTATGAGTCACCGCGAGCCTAAAATAATATGTCACCTCGCTGAATATAATACAGTAAGTCGTGTTTAATAGAGCTGGTGGAGGGAGGTGAGGACTCAATACTTTACTATACCCCAACATAATTAATCATCCTGGGAGAAACAAAAATGTGTCGGGCGGTCGCTGCTGGTTACTATAATGAAGAGCTAGTAGTGACAGGCAGCCCCTACCACTTTCACCAAGGCAGGAGCGGTGCTGACCTGCCCTGAGGACCACTGACTAACCCAGCTATCTCTCTCGCTCTGTCACGTACGTCTCTCTCTCTCTCTCTCTCTCTCTCTCTCTCTCTCTCTCTCTCTCTCTCTCTCTCACACACTCTGCGTAATAGTTTTGCTCGAGTATTTTATTTCCATTAGATCTACTGAAATAAATCAAAACACATCTTATACAACAATAAGATGACAGAGTGGCAACGAATGAAAGAAAACGTGTATGCAGGTTTGTTTTTGCTTCCCCTCACATACATTAGTGAAAAGAAGAGCATAGATTCCTTTAAAATATATAAATATAAATTCTCACATTACGTCAGTTAATGTTCGTCAGTCGTCTTGCCTCACACAGTTCGTACCCCTTCACTAAACAGTGTTGTGTTCACCTCGCTCGACAGCATTGATTCACCATTCACCACCGCAGCCTCACTGTCGTTGTCACCACAAATCCACACTATAAACACCATCAATCCATTTAACCGATACTTACCAAAACCTATACAAACTTAACTATCAGATAACACAATTATATTTGCTTGTTTAACTACGAAGAATAAATATTATTACACTTGGGGTAATATACATTCATCTTTTTTAGTCTTCACCGAATTTCTGGTTGGCGTGCCATCGTGCCTTGAAACTACACGGTGTACACAAAGCTTCTTGATGTTTGTGTTTACAGAGTTTCCCCGTGGAAAATATATATGTAAAATATCAGTTTGTACTCCATTATTTACTGCACACGACAATATTCTTTATCATGTTATTTAGACTTGTATGCATTTGAAACAAGAACGGATCATGGGTGTTCTTTATAATTACTGTACACACCAACTCGCTCGCGTCTATAACATCAGGAACGGATGCAAGTGTGTGTAAGGAAATATATAAATTTAGATCAGAGACTTTAAACTTAATAATGAAAGACTATAAGCTGAGTCATGCAGATTACATACGGACAATACACTTTTGTGATCTGAATAATATTTTCAGTAATCGTGTTTTTTAACATGTATAATAATAACCTGGGTCAATCACTTATGACTGAAAATATGATATTGATTTCACGGCCAACATACCAAACCACCTAGAGTGTTCCTATTGGTTCTGAAAAGGACCAATAATCTTCTGTTATTAAATGAATGATACTGGGGGCGAAAACAGTCACCCTGAGACAGCCTCCTTCACACTACAACCCAAGGCGGATCTCAGCGGCCAATTCCAGCCCACTGCAGCTGTACATTAATATTAACTTTCTTGACTAGATAAAGAAAATCGTAGTTTTGAAATCGTTACAGACAACACTTCAAAAGGCGTCTCAATGAATAATTGTGCTTAAAGACTAGTAACTGTTCTGTGGTCTGCCTGTGTGTCGTGAGGTAACCCAGCTATGGGATATGCTGTTCTAAGTTTCGCTACTAGTTACAACGATCACTGACGTTCTTGATTACCTGAGGGATACACCTGCCCTAAACTATATACCGTTTAAATTAGTGTCTGGGGAATGAGCAAAAAGGATACACTGAAAATGAATTAACGTATAATGAACATATAATGGATTTACCTTGGCTATCCATCAATTGACTTTCTCTTTCCCATTGTTTGTATACCTGATCTGTCTATGTACAGGCTGAAT